CCCAGTCCTCTGTGCGCCCAGGGGGGAGTTTTCATTTGGTATCAGCCTTTGATTGAGGTTCTGGGATTGAGCCTGCCAGTTTTGGACTCTCGCTTGCTGAGGTGTTCCAGCGAGTGTCTCTGTACATCTTAGAAAACTATTTCTAGATTTAAGTCGTTGGCATGCTGGCTGATACCCAAACAGTTTGAAGTTAGATGGTCCAGTGAATGGAATGTGTAAATATATGAATTACCAGCCGCTTCCTGCCACGCGTTGCTGTGGCCCAGTCTGGTGATCTGGAAGAGTAATGAGAAAGTGTGGGTTTCTACTGTATGTAATTTCTTTATGCTTGTGGGCAAACAGTATTTCTCCTTGTTTTCTTTGTTAGTACTGGTGTGGAGATTGTCTGGTTTGCCTACTCTGAAACGTGCAACATATCATTTTCCTTCTTTAGGGTTCCCTCTTGAAATCTATGATACTATATGTCACATAAATATGTTGTAAATCATATCTATCTATATCTATGCTAGATAGCTGTTTGTCAGGAGGGTTTTGATTATATTTCCTTGCCCTGGTGAAGGTAGTTGGACTGGATGGACCATAGATAGCATTTCTCAACGTGGGGGCTGGGACCCTTGCGAAGGTCATGAGGGTACTGTGAATAAAGTTGTTGTAGTTTTTTTCCGGGCTATATGGCCATGGTCTAGAGGCATTCTCTCCTGACGTTTCACCTGCATCTTTGGCAAGCATCCTCAGAGGTAGTGAGGTTGTTGAAACTGGCAAAATGGGTTTATATATCTGTGGAATGATCAGGGTGAGACAAAGGACTCTTGTCTGCTGGAGCTAGGTGTGAATGTTTCAACTGACCACCTTGATTAGCATATAATGGTCTGACTGAGCCTGCGGCAAATTTTTGCTGAGATGTGATTAGATGTCCTTGTTTGTTTCCTCTCTGTTGTAATTTTAGAGTTTTCTTTCATACTGGTAGCCAGATTTTGTTCATTTTCATGGTTTCTTCCTTTCTGTTGAAATTGTCCACATGCTTGTGGATTTCAATGGCTTCTCTGTGTAGCCTGACATGGTGGTTGTGAGAGTGGTCCAGCATTTCTGTGTTCTCGAATAAAATGCTGTGTCAGGTTGATTCATCAGGTTCTCTGCTATGGCTGAATTCTCTAGTTGAAGTAGTCTGCAGTGCCTTTCATGTTCCTTGATTCGTGTTTGGGCAACACTGTGTTTGGTGGTCCCTATGTAGACTTGTCCACAGCTGCATGGTACACAGTAGACCCCTGCAGAAGCGAGAGGATCCCTCTTGTCCTTTGCTGAATGAAGCAAGTGTTGAATTTTCTTGGTGGGTCTGCAGATAGTTTGTATGTTGTGTTTCCTCATCAGCTTCCCTATGCGGTCAGTGGTTCCCTTGATATATGACAGGAATACTTTTTCCTCTGGGTGGATCTTCATATTTACTCCCATGGCTTGTTCTTGGTCTTGCAGCTTTTCTGATGTCTGAGGTATCCATTGGCCTGGAGAGCCCAGTTGAGGTGGTTCAGTTCATCTTGGAGGAGGTGGGCTTCGCAAATTCTTTTTGCACGGTCTGCCAAGGCTTTAATGGTGCTTCTTTTCAGTTTGGTTCAGGTCTATCGTTGGTGGGGTTCGGAGTGCCCTTTGATTGTGGATGAGCTATGGATCCCAGAAACTACAACTCCCAAATGTCCATCTACATTTTTTTTAGAGTGATGGTCACTCATTGGGTTCATAGACATATTCCATCCAAATTTGGTATCAGTTTTGTCCAGAGGTTTTTGAGTAGTGTTGGTGCCACAGGCGAACATTACATTTTTATTTATACAGATGTGTATATGTTTAAAACATTGATAAACTCACTCATTTGGCTTTTCTGTGATTGCTTGTTAAATCAAAATGGAAAATGAATCAATTTGGCTGAAAGAAAACTAATTAAAATGTCGGGAAAGCATCAAAAGCTGGCCACTTGGATGCTTTCTGGACGCAAGTGACAAAAATTATAAGGTAATTGAAATTGTGGGATGAAAATTGTATCTTCAAAAATGTTAAATTACCTGCTCTATAGAATGCTTCCATGAATCTCAAACTGAAAAATGATATTGACAAGCAAGAATGTGTCAAGAGGAAGGTGACCAAAATGATAAAGTGTTTGGAGAACATGCCCTATGAGGAGCGGCTTAAAGAGTTGAGCATGTTTAGCCTGGAAGAAAAAAAGCTGAGAGGATACATGATAGTCATGTATAAATATGAGAAGGTTATAAAGGGGCAGGGAACAAGTTTGTTTTCTGCTGCCCTGGAAACTAGGATGAAGAGCAATGGTTTCAAACTACAAGAAAGGAGGTCTGAACATTAGAAGAAATTTCCTGATTGTGATTGCTGTTCGACAGTGAGGCTCTCTGCCCCAGAAGCTCCTTCTTTGGAGGTTTTTGCGCAGAGCTTGGATGGCCATCTGTTGGGAGTGCTTTTGAATACAGTGTTTTCTGGGCAGGGGGTACGACTGGATGGCCCATGTGGTCTCTTCCAACTCTAGGATTCTATAAAAATGCAGAATAAAGAGTGTTTTTGAATTATCTCAAATGTTATGTTTGAAAAAAAATTATCTGTAGATCTGTTTTAATGTATAATTCTTTGATCCTCTTTTTTTCATGCATCAAACAGAAGAGAAAAAAAACAACATTGCGGTTAACAGCTTCCTCCAAAGCTACAATTCATTTCAAACCTTGTTAAAGAAAAGGAAGTTGCTCTTATCTATATATATAAATCTGTTAGGTTGGTTCAACGGGACAGCAAAACTCAAAACCCCAACGAAACTGCACCAAAATTCCCATGCCCATAACACAACCCACAAGGTACAAACATATCTACTCAAAATGAAAAACAACACAACAACACACTCACAAAACAGCAAAACAACAAAACTAAAAAAACCCAACGAAACTTAACCAAAATTCCCATGCCCATAACACAACCCACAAGGTACAAACATATCTACTCAAAATGAAAAACAACACAACAACACACTCACAAAACGGCAAAACAACAAAACTCAAAAAACCCCAACAAAACTGGCCAACGTTCCCTCTGCAGAAGCCATGCCCACTCCAAGCCCCGCCGCACCGCTTCCCGCACACACACACCCCTGCCGCACGCACACACACAACCCCACGCTCCATCACTCCCCCTGCCGCCGCACACACACACGCAACCCCACGCTCCATCACTCCCCCCGCCGCACACACACACGCAACCCCACGCTCCATCACTCCCCCCCGCCGCACACACACACGCAACCCCATGCTCCATCACTCCCCTCGGCCGCCGCACACACACACGCAACCCCACGCTCCATCCCTCCCCCGCCACCGCACACAACACGCAACCCCACGCTCATCCCCCACCGCCGCACACACACACGCCCCCCCCCTCCCCGCCGCCGCACACACACACGCAACCCCACGCTCCATCACTCCCCTGCCCCAATCTTACCTCCTTTTACTTCACGCCACCTTCAAACCCCACCCCGCCCCTTCCCGCCCTGTCAAAATCCAGGAAAGACAGGAAGGAAGGAAAGAAGGAAGAAGAGAAAGGAGGAAAGAAAAAGGGGGAAGAAGAAGAGAGAAAGAAGGAAGGTAAGAAAAGGAAAGAAAAAGGAAAGTGGAAGGAAGAAAGAGAGAGAGAGAGAAGAAAAAGGGAAGGAAGGAAAAGAGAAGAAGGAAGAAAGGAGAGAAGAGGAGGAAAGAAAAAGGGGGAAGGAAAAGAGAGAAGGAAAGAAAAAAGAAGAAGGAAGGAAGAGGGAGTGAAGGAAGGGGGAAGATGTAAGAAAGAGGGAGGGAAGGAAAGAAGGAAAGAGAGAAGGAAGAAAAGAGACCAGAAGAGAAAGAAAAAGGGGGAAGGAAGGAAGGAGAGAAGAAAAAAGGGAATGAAGGAAGGAAAGAGGGAGTGAAGGAAGGGGGAAGATGTAGAGAAAGAGGGAGGGAAGGAAAGAAGGAAAGAGAGAAGGAAGAAAAGAGACCAGAAGAGAAAGAAAAAGGGGGAAGGAAGGAAAGAGATAGAGAAGGAAGAGGAGAAGGAAAGGGAGGGAAGGAAGGAAGGAGGGAAAGAAGGAGAGAAAGAGGGAAGGTTGGCCACAGCAACGCGCGGCGGGTAAAGGTTGTTATTTCTATTATTATTATTATGCTATTATTCCTCTGAGACCCTTTTAGGGGGAATGGGAGAGGTGTCAGGTCCCAGAGGCAATGCATTGCATTATTGTTATTGTTATGATGGTGGTGAAATAAAAGGAAATAAAAAGTGAAAGAAGGAAGCAAACAGGGAGGGAAGAAAGGCAAAGGAAGAAAGGGGGAGGGAATGAAGGAAAGAGAGAAGGATGAAACCAAGTAGTGAAAGAAGGAAAGAAAGAAAGAGGTAGAGAAGGAAGAAAGGAGAGAAAGGGGGAGGAAAAGGGGGAAGGAATAGGTAGGTACCTCTCTTTCATAATAGTCCAGATATCTACCTCAACTTTGATAAATTTTACTATAGGCCACAGCAACGCGTGGCAGGGCACAGCTAGTATATATATAAAAAAACAAACTGATGCATTAAAAAGGGGCTCTCAGAAAACCAGAGGTCATCCAGCCTCACCCACGTTTGTCAAAAAAAAAAGGAACAAAACACAATGTTAATATAATGAGGTGTTTTGAATATATTGCATAAGGAAGAGGTGATGATAAAATAATATGTTTACCTATGGAGGGGATTAGTTTGCTAAACAAATAATATATATATATATATATATATATATATATATATATATATATATAAAAAATAAAATTATCTTTGTTTAGCAAAACTAATCCCCTCCATAGGTAAACATATTATTTTATCATCACCTCTTCCTTATGCAATATATATATATATATGTTTTGGCTTCCTACTTTAAGCCCCCACCCCCTTTGCAAGGGAAGCCATCGAACATCCAATCACGTGAGACGTTGGCTCTACCGCGCAACTGTGATTGGCTAACCAAATAGGACGGCGCGAGAGTTTACGTCCTGGGATTGTATCCTGGCGCCACCATTTTTGGCGGGAATTTCGAGCTGAGTGGAGCTGCTGCAGCTGCTGATAGTAATAAGCGGGGGCTACTAACCAGCCTGTCGCTATTTCATCTACAAACAAGGGCTTCTTTCTGTCTCCAGGCCAGTGGTCAAAAGAAGGTGAGAAAAGAGGGGTCCCGAATCTTCTTTCTAAAGTGACTTTAGCCCCTTCTACACTGTCCTTATATCCCAGGATCTGATCCCATATTGCCTGCTTTAAACTGGACTATATGATCCTCCACTGCCAGATAATTTGGGATAAAATAATCTGGGATCAGATCCTGGGATATAGGGGCCTGTAGTTTTAATAATACTCTTGTAATTATATTTTTCTCTTACAAACTCAAACTGGGGATGGAGGAATACTTCCTATTAGAATAATAGGGGTAATGGAGAGTGGAATACTTCCCATTAGAACTACTAATGTTAAAGATCTGTTATTTTATATGCTGCCCTAATGCAGGACCCAAAGGATCCTACTCTGGCATAAGCCACTCAAAAGCATATTATTAGTATTAGTATATTGCATTACATTATAATATTATAAATATATATATATATACACACAATATATTATATTTATTATATTATATTTATTATATTATTAACATAGCACAGGAGACAAGGTGGAACTGTCCCCTGGCCCCCCCTCTCTTCACTCTGGCCCAGAGCAGCAATTGGTGCTGGGGGGAGGGGTCTCCAGTTGTTTACATATACACACATACATACATACATACATATACATAAGCTTTGGATAGCATAGGGAAGGGTTTACACCCTGTGGAAGGCCCGTAGCAAATTCTCAGGGTGTCCGTGAGAAGGCCTTTACTGGTACATTATTTAAATGGTTATGTTTATTGATATCATGATCTGATCACAATGCTCAATAAATCCCATATGCATGGGGGTATTGTGATAACAATACAAAAAGTTTACTAGGGTAGATCCTTCCCCCCCCCCTCCCGAATCAAAATCCTGGCTACGGGGCTGATCTGCATGTTCTCCCGCAGTGAGGGCATTGGCTTCCAGGTGGAAGGCGGTTTCAGTCAGGGTTGACTTGACGCACCTTCCTCTTGGCACGTTTCTCTCTTTCACCTTCCATTCATGCCTCTTCAAATTCTACAGCACTGCTGGTCACTCAAGGGCCAGGGCTTTCCAGTTCTTGGTGTCTATGCCAGAGTTTTTAAGGTTGGCTTTGAACCCATCTTTAAATCTCTTTTCCTGCCCACCAATATTCCTTTTTTCGTTTTTGAGTTCGGAGTAGAGCAATTGCTTTGGGAGACAGTGGTCGGGCATCCAGACAACGTGGCCAGTCCAGAGGAGTTGATGGCGGAGGACCATCGCTTCAGTGCTGGTGGTCTTTGCTTCTTCCAGCATGCTGACATTTGTCTGCTTGCCTTCCCAAGAGATTTGCAGGATTTTTCGGAGGCAACGCTGATGGAATCGTTCTAGGAGTTGCATGTGACATCTGTAGATAGTCTACGTTTCGCAGGAGTATAGCAGGGTTGGGAGGTCAATAGTCTCCCTACAGCTGTCCCAGTCCTCAAACACTCTCTGCTTCATTCGGAAAAATGCTGCACTCGCAGAACTTAGGTGGTGTTGTATTTTATTGTCAATGTTGACATTTGTGGAGAGGTGGCTGCCAAGGTAGCAGAAATGGTCAACATTTTCTAATGTTACACCATTAAGCTGTATTTCTGTAATACTATATAGTATTAGATTTAATATATGTGTGCAATATGTAATACACATTACAGCAGTGATTTCTATAACTGAGTACTTCAGTAAAAACACTTTCTGTAGTCTTATCCTGAACCTGCTTTTCATCATTTCCATTTTCTAGTCCTAATTCTTCAGTGTGGAGGTCAAGAAAAGTATTTACTTACAGGAAGAGTGCTCAGCCCCATGATAATGGAAACAGTTTTCCTTATAACATATTAACCAGTAATTCTGATTAAGAATAGTTTGCATGGCTTTTCCTTTGAAAATCCTTCAGTGTTGTTATCTTGGTTGAAAAGGAAGAGAGATGTGACAACACCAAAGGAGGCTTTTGCAATAGTTGTCCTCCCATCTCTAGGGCAGGAAGGATGGTAATGTTGGAAGGAGGGACAGTGGAAAAGGGCTGAGACAGTTGCTCTTCTGATTGTGGCATTGCTCTGGGCTGAACACAAAGTCCCTCTTATCCCACCCGGTTAAGTGCAGGTGTCAGAACATCTTCCCACCCCCACTTACCTTCTCCCTGCTGCCATCCCATCTTTTTGGGGGCACTGCCATAATCTCAGTCCTCTATCTGATCCTATCTTCCTCCTGAGAAAAGGAGGGGACATGTGTCCCCTGACTTCTACCACTCACTCTAAACCTTTTGCTCTCTGCCCAAGTGAACGAGCAAAGGGGAAAGTGCACACACTCTTATGCTTCCCATTCTTTCCCCCCTCCCTTTTCCATTTGTACTGCAACGTTTAACCATAAAGTTAGCTGACAGTAGTAGCATTTACTACTTTCATTATATTTTTTCTCCCTATTATCTCTTCCAGATTGAATCGCTTTCCCAACTGCAGAAACCTAAAAAGCACCATGTTGGAGGGAGAGTATGAATTTATTCTACGCATCCTTGAAGAATTGACTAAGAGTAAAATGAAGATATTCTTATATCACCTGAATAAAAAGGAGATAGATGGAAATACCATCCCTCAAGCAAAACTTGAAGGTGCTGGTCCAGTGAAGGTGGCTAAATTGCTTGAAGAATATTATTATCCACGGCATTTGGAGGTTCTTCGAGATATATTGCTTTTAGTTCCCGATAATCAACTTGCTGATAGAGTCTCCACTGCAATAGATGCTAGTGAGTGCTATTGGGGCTTTTCCAGATAGATGCTTCACACAGAAATTGCACCACTCTGTTCTGCTTTTGTCAGACCTCTGATTCCCACAGCGGCCATGGCTTCAGGAGGATTTGGAGGTGATCACCATTGTGCTAAAAGAGCTAAAGTGTATGGGTGATAGCTGCTATCCCACTCCCCTACTGAAATACCACATTTTTAACTCCACTTTTGGTTAAGATTTTTAAAAATAGTTTTACTATTTCCCATGTAATGGTATAACTATACCATTTGTGTAGTAAGATGACATATGGCAAAAGCTATTCTAACATGAAATAGTATTTAAAACTATTTAAAACTATTATTAAATATTAAATTAAAATAGTATTAAAACTATTAAAAACTGATTAAAATTACTTTCTTGGGGGGGTAGGTAACAGATGTTGCCATCCAAGATTATCAACTGCTTTCTCTGCATCTACAGGATAGTGAGTGCTTCCTTTTCCATTCAATTGGGAACCAATATGATTAGGTATTGTTTCAGGACTAGGGAGATCTAGCTTCAGTTCCTACCCATTCTAAGAAATCAAACTTGTAAGATTTTCTTACGAGAACTGAATTGCTGTTGCCCAAAGCTTTCTGGTTAATTTTCATTCTTCAACTCTTTCATTATTTTCAAATGCAAGGAAGAGGCCGTTCCAACTAAGCCACTATGAATGGAACTCAGAGAAAGCAGTAACAGTCAATGCACATACATTCATAAGGGAGTTCTTCAATGAGCATTTAATAATACAAAATAAGTTGTACAACGAATAGAGAAATCCCAGTCTCTCTCTCTCTATCTAATAATGGTCAAAATTTCTATATTTGTGGGTGGTGGATTTCCAAGACAGCGCCAACTTCCAAAGCTGCATCCCACTGACAATGGGTATGAACCAAACTTGGCGCACAGCTCCACCCCCATGACCAACATAAAATTCTGGAGGGGTTTTAGGGAGAACCCTAGAATCTGGGACTTATAGTTCACCCACATCCAGAGAGCATTCTGAACACAACCAACAATGGATCTGGACGAAACTTGGCACACATATCCGACATTCTCAGCTTTGAATACTGATGGGATTGGAGGGAACTGACCTTGAATTTAGGAGGTTGTAGTTCACCGACATCCAGATAGAATTGTAAGCCCAATGAACAATGAATCTGGACCAGCATGGGCAAACTCCAGCCCTCCTGGTGTTTTTGGCTTTAATTCCTAATAGCCGGCAAGCAGGGTGGGGTTTCTGGGAGTTGAAGTCTCAAACACTTGGAGGGCTGAAGTTTACCTATGCCTGATCTTGACCAAACTTGGCACACAGATCCAACATGATCAGCTTTGAATGCTAGTGGGGTTTGTAGGGAACTGAACTTGAATTTAGGGAGTTCATCCACAAGCAAAGAACACTATGAACCCTAATGACAATGGACCTGGGCCAAAGTTGGCACACAGACCCAACATGGCCTACTTTATGTACTGGTGGGGATTGGAGGGTTGATGTTGAATTTAGGGAGTCATAGTTCACCCATAGCACATGCCCAACTTCGAATATTGGTGTGGTTGGAACAATGACATGATGGTGGAAGTTGTAGTTTACTCAAATTGTTTTGCATTTTCTAATAGACATATTGGGTACCTAAACTAGTAGAACATAAGAGTGAAACTTTTATGTTGAATCAGCTGTCACTGCTTGTGCCCTATCATGCTGACATTGGCGAAGCTGAGGGAGGCACAGCTCCTGTTTTTCTTTTACAGGGAGCGGTCAACCCCACTGTTAAAACAGCTCCACTGGTTGCCAGTAAGTTTCTGGTCCCAGTTCAAGGTGCAGGTTATCACCTACAAAGCCCTAAATAGTTCGGGACCTGCCTATCTTTGTGTAAACTCTTAAGATGTTCTGGGGAGGCCCTTCTCTTACTCCCACCTCCATCACAAGTGTGGTTGGTGGGGACGAGAGAGAGGGCCTTCTTGGTGGTGCCCCCCCCCCCGGCTCTGGAACCCTCTCCCCAGGGAGATTAGACTGGCGCCCGCCCTGTCCATTTTTGTAAAGACCTACAAATGTGGATGTTCCACTGTGAACTGTTGATTAAACAGTTCACTAGATAACTTTGCCCCCCCCCCAGCCATAACTCAATGTCTTGTGAGTAAACTTACTACTGTTCCCTGCCCTGTAGATATAATATTCTAATTCATATTGCCCTTCTAGTCCTAACTTAACATCTGTCTCCTGCACTTTATTCATCAGCCCTGTCCTTTAAACTGATTTGCACCAACCCCGCCTGAGTTCAGTATTTGATTAATATGTCGGGCTATTGGTTGTTTGTTTGATGGTTGTTTTATGTTGTGTTATATTTAAAACTGTTGACCAGGCTTGTTCCTATGTAAGCCGCCCCAAGTCCCTTTGGGGAGATGGTGGCGGGATACAAAAATAAAGTTATTATTATTTTCCTTTTTACTCTTTTTTCTTCAAATAGTCCCTATTCTCCCAAGCATCCAGACATAATATGTATATCATGGGTGGAAAGAGGGCTTTCTGTAGTCCCCATTTGCCCCGATCGGCATTTTTGAGGCTCCCAAACTCTTGCCACAGTTCAGGATTTTTTAGCAGGGTGAATTTTATTTCAGTAATAGGGCATTTTGCTACCATGTTGCTCCCAATATTGTTTTAAGTCTGGACTGGGTTTTTTAAAATTAGGAAGTTTAAGCTGGAAGTTGGACTTGTTACTTTAGTCCTCCCTGCATTATATTCTCTAAAATTGGGTGGTCTTGTCTTCTCCAGGAAATATTTTTATTCTATATATTTTTTTATTTTTTCCTGATCATGAAATACCAATAGAATTTAAAGTTTCAGTTGTACTGATTGATGAAAAATTAGATATAGTCAATATCTGAAGAAATATAAAAAGTCCCAATACATTTAAAATATTGATAAATAGCCCTAACTAAATTCAGAGAGCAAGACATTAATAAAATGTTCATATTTGGGGGGGGGGGGGAATCTAAAACAAAATATTGCTGTGATATAAATACTTTGGCCAGTTTTTAAAAGAAGCAGTGCATAGTATTGATATTAATATTTATTTGTCTTTCTGAACTGTAAACATAGTTGTAGAGTTTTTAATTTTATATAATAGTTTTGAATATGCAAATATGTTATATTTGTGGAATAATAAAAATACTTCAATAAGATAAAATATGACAATTAAAATTAATATTTAATCAGAAAAGAAGAAACGTGAAAATCCAATTGAAGAGGTGGATGGTATTCCAGCAAAGAAGGCAAAATACAGTCAAGGGACACAATATAAGGGTATGTAACAACTGACTTGAAAGGTCTAGTTAAAGTTCTCACAAATTTTGTTATTGAAGTTAGCCATATTTTATCCTCCTGATTTTTTTATTAAACATGGTCTTACTGTGTTCCAACATCTTTAAATATCTTATTTTGTTTTATTTCCCAATCAATTCCACCAGCCCACAAATGAAATTAATACAGTGAGTTTAAATATGCCACATTTAATCTAACTCTTATTGTATTCCAACTTTTAAAATATAGTATCTTACTGTTTGGCTCTTTTTTGTCGGTGTCATGAATTAAATGTTAAACTTACGCAATTGTTAAGTGCCTGTCACACAATTCAGAAACAATCTAAATTAGATTTTCTTTTTGTTGCCTGTTTATAGCATCCTATTGTAAACCCTTGGGCTCTTCCCACTCCATCTAGGACTGCCATATTTGTTAGGCAAGTTGTGATAGAGCGCAGCATTTTATAACCATAGTCAACAGATGGTCGCCTGTGGCAGAACCATCCATTTAAGCTGAAAGTGATTTCTGATCACTTCCTGTTTTGGAAACATATCCACAGGTAAGTATTATTTACAGTAGGAAGCTGACCTCCAGCTATCCCATGCCTTACAGATGATTAAATAGCTTGTCCCCGCTTTTGTCGTTTACCTATCCCAATACTGTACCCAAATGCCAGTCCCATCTTATTTCAATTTGTATCAGTCTTGACCCAGCCTTTTAAATTGTCTTGACCCATTCCTTTTTCCATGCCCTAACAAATAGACATGAAGAGCAGGCAGGATTTTTTCTTTTAATATTTATGTGTTGTTGAGTAATTCCATTATAAACATCATTGCCATGGTGTTGTTGAACATGGCACCCTCCACTCCTGTGATTTATAGTTCTCAAAGGGCAACAGTATAAAATATGATTATTTTTTTTGTTCTCTGAACTTCCACAATTCTGATGATTCTGCCATTTGAAGATGTTTCTTCTATCTCTCTAGGTGAATACAGACTTCCGGATATGGAGGACTATGCTACAGAGAATCAGGGTCTACTGATAGAGAAACTAAAAGAGGATATTGGACCCAGTGCATTTAAAACACTGGAAGAAGAACTAGCCATGAGAAAACTGAAAAATGTGTTTTCATTTAATGCTGCACAGTTTTACAAAGTTGTCACAAACCAAGAGCTAAAAGTTTTTTTGAGCAAAGATTGTAAAAAAACATCACATGGAATACCCTCCAAAATTCTTGATTTGATGTTACACCCATCTCAAAAAAATAAAAAAACAAAGCAGATGAGTCAGCCAAGACAGAAGAAGCCAATACCTAGTCCTAATTCTACAAGTGAACAGAAACTAAGCAATGAAAGGCAAGAATTGCCAACTGATAAAGTAAAAGGGAATTCACAAATATCCAAAGAAGACATCAAGAATGATAATGTTTATGCTGTTGAGCAGGAACCAGAGGTAAAAAAGAAGGTATCACTACTTAAAAATGAGAAAAATAACCAATTTTCCATGGAGGACCTTACTCGGGATTTTGATGGTGACTATAATGAGAAATGGGAAGGAGAGGAAACGAAAGAATTGCCAGAAAATAAGCAGAAAGGGGACCTCCAAATCTCCAAGGAGAACAACTTCATTGAGGAACCTGATGTTGACTATGATGGAGAAGGAGATGAAAAGAAAGAGGAACAAAGGAATTTCATAATGGAGATGGAACCTGTACATGAAAGTAAAGAAGATACAATTAGATGCGATAAAAAAACCAAGAACGGGGTATCTGAAAATGAACTTTCTGAGAATTTAAAAAGGCTCATTGAGAAACATTATGGAAAAAAACCCTGTATTGATATGCGGTGTAATTATGAGCACAAAAAATATAAATGCCTTAAAGCCCAAGATGTAATACTATTTAAATGGGAAGAGGAAACAGAATACCGTATATTGCATTATCTGCAGGATGACAAAGATCTTAATAAGAATGATTGGCTGAAAAAGAACGTGGAATTTGAATTGCAGTTTAACATGGCTGTTTTAGGTGTTCAATGTTCTGAATGCATATCTATTAACAGTCTAAAGAATGTGAAGGCCAGTTCTTTCAAACAACATGAAGAGTGTTTAGAAAGTATTGTGTCAGATATTGTATTGCCTGTTCTAGCTCTTTATAAGAGAGTGAAGCTAAATACATTCTTTACATAGTCCCTGGAGTAGACCTGGCTCTGGAACCAGGCGTTTGGAAAGTAGTGCAATATGGAATTCAACCTAAAAGCAGCACTACAAATAATGACTATGAGACTAGGCATTATGTTTTAATCTGTTTTAATTGTATTTATATGTTTTATTGGTTTTATTGCTCAATGTGTTTATCTGTTTTTTGTATTCATAATGCACCATTGAATTTTGCCATAATTTGGAAGTTGCTCTTAGTTCCTTTTGGGGTGAGAAGAGGAGGGTAAAAACATAGTAAATAAATAAATAAATAAATAAATAAAAAGAAGAGTAAATGACAACCCAATCCACCCAAATCCATATACATAGCTCTTGAAGTAAATCAAATAATTTGAAATAGAAAATCCCACAAATGATTTTCCCTTCACTGATAAGAAATCATATATATAATAACGAGAATTCAGTTGTACCACTGCTTCTTAAACTGCAGGACTCGATCCCAAATGGGGTCCCCTGAACTCAATGTTGGGGTGCCAATTTCCCCCCCGGAATATTACTTAATATTTGTTTTTGAATTTACATGAATCGAGCAGTGTGTACAGTGGACTCTGCAGAAGATACTGTACAGGCAGTTCCCAAGTTACAGACATCCGGCTTATATTTGACTCCTAGTTACAAACAACAGGAAGTAAGCGGAAATCTTCCCCTAGGAAGGGAAATTCACTCCTGAAAGAGTGATCATTAGGGGAGGAGGTGTCTCAATTTAAGCTGTCTCACCAACCCTTGTTTCCAAAGCAAGCCAAATTTTCCAAAATTGAATTATCACAGGGACAGGAACTGAGGAGAAATTTTCTGAGCAGGGACACAGACAGCAAAACAAATGTCCCCTATGATATCCAACACACACGCACTATCCAAAACACACATGGCTGGAGTTACACCTAAAAATGTACCTGGTATGACTATATACAAATTCAGCTTAAGAACAAACCTACAGAACCTGTCTTGTCTGTAACTTTAGGGACTGCCTGCACTTCATAAAGAGGAAAATCAAATATGAATTTGTTATCAGTTCATGTTTGTTGTTTGCATATATTTTATATACCTGTATACCTGAGGTCACATAAAATTTTCTCAGGCCAAAAGTGATTGCTAATGGAAAAGTTTAAGAATTCCTGATTTATGATTTTCTTATGACATTTAATATTGGACTGCTAATTTAGTCCCTTTACTGCAGTTATAATGTATATGTGCTTTCTTGCCAAAGACCAAGGAAGCACAATCAATTAATTTAAAAAAACACATTTAGACAAAATTGACTGCACAATTTTTACATATAATCTCAATAATAACTTACATTGTGTTTGCTTAGGTAAAAGGATCTATAGTTGCAGTTTTCCCCCAATTTAATTGTTCTTGCATTTACTCCCTGCTGTACTTCTACATTTTGATTGTTTTTCCAAGTTAATATACTTTTACAGTTTTAAAATCTTTTAAGCTATTTTAATATGTTAAATTGCTTACTATTTTGCAAATCAATTTACATTGTTTCATTGCCTTAAATTCTGACTTGTTTACAATTACTGAAATAAATATTCATTATCTTAAATGCTGACTTGTTCACAATTATTGAAATAAGTAATCAGTCGGCGACTCGACTGATGAGATTGTTTTATGGTTTTAATAACTGTTTTGATATTTGGGGATGTACTGTTTTTAATATGATTTATGTTTAAAGTGTGGTTTTGCTATTGTAGTTGTAAGGCATTGAATTTTGCCATTGTCTATGTGTAAACCACTTTGAGTCCCCCTAGGGGTGAGAAAAGCGGTATATAAATACTTTAAATAAATAAATTTTTGAGTGTGCATCCCTGAACTAACATGATATAGGGCAGGAGTGGCATAGGGGACAACATGACCTTGCACAAGACCTTGCAATACATACACACATTATATACTGTATGTATGTATGTATATATACACATTCTCTCTCTCTCTCTCTCCCCCTATATATATATCTATATATCTGTATCTATATATATATAGTGACCAAACACATGCCCCATGTCAATCTCATATATATATCTATATAAATAAAAATATAATGTTCATTTGTGGGATTAACAGAACTCAAAAACGATTGGACCAATTGACACCAAATTTGGACACAAGTCACCTAACAACCCAATGTATGTCCTTCACTAAAAAAATTGATTTTGTCATTTGGGACTTGTAGTTGCTGGGATTTATAGTTCACCTGCAATCAAAGAGCATTCTGAACCCCACCAATGATGGAACTGAACCAAAATTGACACACAGTTCTCCCATGGTCAACAGAAAATACTGAAAGGGTTTGGTGGGCAGTGTCCTTTGGTTTTGGAGTTGTAGTTCACCTACATCCAGAGAGCACTGTGGACTCAAACAATGATGGATCTGGACCAAACTCTACACAAATACTCAATATGCCCAAATGTGAACACTGGTGGAATTTAGGGAAAATAGAATCTTGACATTTGGAAGTTGTAGTTGCTGGCATTAATAGTTCACCTACAATGACAGAGAATTCCCAACCCCACCAACGATAGAATTGGGCCAAACCTCCCACACAGAACCCCCATGTGGATCACAGCAACGCATGGCAGGGGATGGCTAGTATATATATATATATATAGAGAGAGAGAGAGAGAGAATGTGTATATATACATACATACATATATACAGTATATAATGTATGTATGTATTGCAAGGACTTGTGGAGGGCTAAGGTCCCCTATGCCACCTCTGCCCTATATCATGTTATATATATATATGAATGATTGACATGGGGCATGTGTTTGGTCACTTTATGCTCCCAGAGGAAATTCTAGGATATTTTGAGAGACATTTTTTAAATTGCAAAAATTTAATTTTGAATCTGAGGACCTCTCCCAAATAATGAATTGTACGTTATTGGGTATAAATTTATATGCAATATTTTTCTGCAGTCCTGTAAATCCAGCGGGCTGCCTCTTGTATTTCAGAACCCTACAAAGCCAAGCAGGCTGCGTCTATACTTTTCCCAAATTATATTAAATGATATCTCCTTTGGAATGCTGCCTATGGGCAGAGAGATGGAGGATTGTGTAATGCATGCACTCAGCATGCTCTCAGATCCCATTGATAAAAGCTCTTCCTATCATTGTTACAGGAACCCTAGGCAATTGATAAACTCCCATCTCATTGATAAATTTCCTGCCTTAATTGCTAAACTTTGAGCCTCAATTCCATGCTTTCATTGATAAAATCTGGACTATCTGCTAGTGAGACTCAGCACATGGGTGAGCTTTGCCCATTGTACTATTTATCATTTTCAAAGACTGATTGCATGTGTTTGACACTATTTTGTGTTCACCTGGACCAAGCCATTAAATCAATTGAGTAGTCTTTTATATATTGAAACATCACATTCCTTGAGTTAGCACCCCTTAAGGACGTCAACCATTGAACAGACTGACACTTCAAATCAGTGAATGACACAATTAAATTTCTTGCCACCCGAGGAACCAACCACAGAAGCTGCTTCACAGAGCTTCAAGCCAACAGGAGCTTGGATCTTAGCTGGGCCACTTCTCAGACATTTGAGGACTGCCGTGGGTTTTCTGAATATTCCAGTGCTTTATGACAATACTTTTATTTGTTTTGCTGATATTATTTCTGGCCAGGAAGAATAAAGACCTTTAATTTTGCCTTCCAACCAGACTGTGTCCTGATTTGACCTGGTTCGTTTGACATTCCGGGCTTCTGAACCCATCGTTTTGCGGTTACTGAGATCACAACACTTGTGAAAATGCCTTCTACATCCTAGAGATAATCTGGGAGACTGGGTTGTTGTAGGTTTTTTCGGGCTATATGGCCATGGTCTAGAGGCATTCTCTCCTGACATTTCGCCTGCATCTTTGGCAAGCATCCTCAGAGGTAGTGAGGTCTATTGGAACTAGGAAAAGGGGGGTTTATATATCTGTGGAAAGACCAGGGTGAGACAAAGGACTCTTGTCTGCTGGAGCTAGGTATGAATGTTTCAACTGATCACCTTGATTAGCATATAGTGGCTTGACAGTGCCTAGAGCAAACTTTTGTTGAGAGGTGATTAGAGGTCCTAAATCTGGGAGACGTTTGAACTATTTGTTTTGATTTTGTTTTTTTTTCCTTAGGGACTCTTAGAAGTTTATGAATACAATAAAATAGGTATAGCTATAGTTTACTTAATAATGGAGAACCAACTCAGAAATTATACAGAACTCTGCATTTTCAATTGAATTACCATATAAGGTATTTCTTCAAATAAAGCAAAGCTAGGCCATTTTGATTTAGCTATTCCCCAGCGTGCAAAACACTGTAATAAACCTTAAAATGCAGGTACTGTTTTACTCGGGCATATTTTGAGCAACCTGGGATTCTTGGCTCAGTGATGAGTCCAGGAGAACTCCCAAGCTGCAAACCTGTGCCTTCAAGGAGAGTGTAACCCCATCCAGCACAGGTTGTGACCCTATACACTGTTCGGCTTTGCGACTGACCAGGAGGATCTCTGTCTTTTCTGAATTCAACTTAAATTTTCTTGCCCTCATCCAGACCATCACAGTGGTTCAGGACTTGGACAGCCTCCTTAGCATCTGGTGGTAGAGTTGGACGTCATCTGCACACAGATGGCATTGAACTACAAAACTCTGGATGATCTCACCCAGCGGCTTTAAAATGTACCTGTTCTGACTTACAGGTTTCGGCGGTGACCAGGGGAGCATTTGCACAGTTAAAACTTGTGCGCCAACTGTGCCTGTACCTTGGGAAGTCTGACTTGGCCACGGTAGTCCATGCTCTGGTTACATCCCGTACAGACTACTGCAACGCTCTACATGGGGTTGCCTTTGAAGACGGTCTGGAAGTTTTAACTAGTCCAACGAACAGCAGCCAGGTTGCTAACAGGAGCAGTGCTCGGCATACAACCCCCTTGTTGCGCCAGCTCCACTGGCTGCCGGTTTGCTACCGGGTCCAATTCAAAGTGCTGGCTTTGCCCTATAAAGCCCTAAACGTTTCTGGCCCAACTTACCTGTATGAACCATTGAGGACTCTAAGATCGTCTGGGGAGGCCCTGCTCTCAGTCCTGCCTTCATCTCAAGTACGTTTGGCGGGGACGAGAGACAGGGCCTTTTCAGTGGTGGCCCCTCGGCTATGGAACACCCTCCCTAGGGAGATCAGATCTGCTCCCTCCCTCTTAATGTTTCAGAGGCAAGTTAAAACATGGCTGTTTGAGCAAGCGTTTACAAATGCAGAGTAGCTAATATAGGAAATTGAACGATTTGACAATGGAACTGGACAATGCTTGATAATAATGAGACACTAATTATGTTTTTATTGCTTTTGTGGTGTTTTATATTGTTTAATGTTTTAATCTTTATTATGTTTTTATATGTACTAATTTGTTGGAAACTGCCTTGAGTTGCCGATTGGCTGAATAAGGCGGTATACAAATACAGTAAATAAATACATACATACATACATACAATTCAACTTAAGAACAAATTTACAGAACCTATCTGGTTTGTAATGGGGGACTGAGTGCCTGTCCATAACTAGTTTTTCCCATTCTAATAATCTTGAGTCCTTAGAATGGGAAATACTAGCTATGTATAACATGCCACTGAATGTGAGGTTTAATTCACTGATAAGCCATTTCCAAAACAAAGCATTATTATTGGGGCTTATTACTCAGCACAGTGTTCCCGGACACAATGAAGAAGGAAAAAAGTTCCCATTTACTACTACTACTACTAGTTAGGCGATCCCTCGTAGTCCAAGGATGATGGTCCTCCAAGTGTAATGTCCTAGCGGTGGGTCCCTAGGTGAATGTGGAGGCCTATTCCTGACCTGCATCTTCTCCCACACTGAGGGAATCTGTTTCCAGGTGGAAGGTGGTCCCGATCAGGGTTGGCTTGATGCGCCTTCCTCTTGGCACATTTCTCTCTTTCACCCTCCATTCGTGCCTCTTCAAATTCTACAGCACTGCTGGTCACAGCTGACCTCCAGCTGGAGCACTCAAGGGCCAGGGCTTCCCAGTTCTCAGTGTCTATACCAGAGTTTTTAAGGTTGGCTTTGAGCCCATCTTCCTGCCCACCAATATTCCGTTTTCTGTTCTTGAGTTTGGAGTAGAGCAACTGCTTTGGGAGATGGTGGCCGGGCATCCGGACAACGTGGCTGGTCCAGCGGAATTGATGGCGGAGGACCATCACTTCAGTGCTGGTGGTGTTTGCTTCTTCCAGCACGCTGACATTTGTCCACTCTTCTTCCCAAAAGATTTTTCGGAGGCAACGCTGATGGAATTGTTCTAGGAGTTGCATGTGACGTGTAGACAGTCCACGTCTCGCAGGCCTATAGCAGAGTTGGGAGGGCAATAGCTTAATAAACAAGCACCTTGGTCTCCCTACGGATGTCCCCGTCCTCAAACACTCTGTGCTTCATTCAGAAAAATGGATTTTTCGGGGGCAGCGCTGATGGAATCGTTCCAGGAGTTGCATGTGACGTCTGTAGACAGTTCATGTCCCACAGGCATATAGTGGGGTTGGGAGGGCAAGAGCT